ATCAGCAATAATTCTTCTACAAGAAATGGCTTTGTTACATTGTTACAGGTTGTAAGAAAAGCAAATTGGGCTAGTTAACAACTTTGACAAAATGCGGTTTTGTTTATTAAAAATATATACAAAAACAAATGAGCTATTCTCTTTGAACTTTTTTAAAATAATAAATCAGCATACTTTTACATCAACGAAAAATGTATGTAGTCCCACTTTTCCTTTACCACTTATTTGCTATTTTTTGTCTACTCTTCAAGCGAGCATGTACACAAATTTTGCTGCCAGTTTCATAGTCAGACTATACGCCTTCCTATACAGTAATTTTTATTTAACACGCTACGGTTTGACAACAACTTTAAAGCTTATAAAATCAAGTAATTGCCATGTTAAGACGGTATCTTTCACATTTTGTTCAAGTGCGAAACGGAAGATTGCCTTATATAACCCACTTATTCCCACATAAGAACTTCTCTGTATGGCTTCACTGCTAGCGAAATGAATGAGATGCAGGAAAAGAACGATAAAATAATCCAAGTTGAATAGTCGAAAATAATGCCGCCGGCTAATGCCTGATCAAGGTCAACATATGCACACACCTTGATTGCCTCAAAACTTGATTGAACAAAGAATAGTTTAATTTAGATTGTGTAGATAAGTTTTTCAAGCACGACAATCTACTGCGTCTTTAGTCAACTTAAATCTAGGAAATTTGGTAAATTAAGCTGAAGCAAACATCAGCCAGCGTTCTTTGGCGGTTCAAAAGTACTAAGTGTTTTACTAATTGATTGTGTTTGCTTTTGACCTGGGCGGATGACATCTTTGCTCGCCTTTCTTCCACAGCAGCAAATTGCTTTAAAGCTCATGCCTTAATTTAAAATGTTACGCACGTCATGCAGAGATACAAGATAATAAGGTGGTGTACAAGTGTTCATGCATATATTTGCAGTTAAAAGAATTAAACCCCCCAAAGATAGCTAGTTACTAACCAAGCGCGACAACCTAATAAAATGTTCGCATGTCAGTTATTGCATGGTCTTGTCGATAAGCGCCAATTTCTGAAGGGAAATATCAGCAGTAAAACGATTATCAGCAATTACTTCATATCGTAAAAGAACAGGTCTCTAAAATATGACGCGTTTCTTGCAAAATAGCGCCATAAATAATGTTAAATTTTTCAGAAAACTGGGCCATCCTGCATCATCAACATAATCATTACAGCGACCGGACGTTGAACGTCCCGTCTTAATTAAAATCTTCAATTTTATGTCTTCATATAAATTCGATCTGTATATCTACAACACTGATCGTCAATAAAGGAGTTGAATTCATGCAGGTTCAATTACGCCACTAGAGACTTATATTAGTATGTTTGCAGTGTTTATTTGCACACGGCATTGACTACAGAAAATTACACTTGCATGGAAATCTTATGCAAATGTTTTGAGCTGAAGTTCAAGAAGACGGATGTTGTGAGGTTTACCTGATTAAATAATAGAAGCAGCTTATTATATCCGCTAATTTCGCATATGAGGAAGGAAGGTATTACTACGACCATATGAGCAAATCTTTGAATTGGCCAGGTTTTTCCTTCTTACTCGATTAATTGCAAAAAAGAAAATACGATTAATTTTATTTACAGTTTAGCTTTCCAATGTGATATCACTAGGACGGTTCATTAACATATTAGCTCATGCCAATGCACAAATTAATATTAAACTTGCTTATATGTTGTCAGTTCTTGTTGCAAATGGTGAAGACATTTATTGATTTATTTATAGTACAAATTCAGTTTGTTTTGCTTCAGAATACTGTGTGTGATATTACGCCTCAAATTTAACAGACGCTATGTGAACTTGATGGAAATGATGCCATTATCTCATCCAGTTAATTTGTATATGAATGTTAGAAATGTAATGTAGAATGTTAACTTTTTATGAAGATGACAGTGTACAACTGGATTGGAGGAATAATTTTAAATGTTCCAAATTTAATAAATTAACCACAGACATTTAATAATGTTTTACTAATTCTGAATAAATCGGTTAATAAACAAAACAAACATAGGTATAAGAAGCAGTGAATACTTAGTAGCTTCAAAATATTTTTAACTCGTAGTTGAACAATCGCATACTTTGCAAAGGCTAAGGCTAAAGCTAAGGCTAAAAATAACTTAATAAGTTTTACTTGAAAATTGAATTTTCTATCAAAGAGAAAAACGATACGATTGACTGCTTATGCCACCTAAATACGAAAAATACCCTGAAAATGGATTTTTACCAATATTTGGAACGCCGTCGCATGAATATTGAGTTCCAGGAATATTTAAATGAAATTTTGCAGAACCGCCGACCTTGCCTGTCTCTATTTCCAGCAACATTCATCCACAGGTTTCTCGATTTCTTAGAAGAGAATCGGGCCCAAAGGTCCAAAATGTCCTCGAAAATGAATTTGAAATGGTGGTTTGTTGGCCTGGTCAGGTCAATTGTTCTATTGTTAACCGAAGAATGTTATTTATCTAGCACAATAAAACATAATTTAAATTTAACAGCAAACTATTTAATAAATAGCTTAAACAAACTCAAAACCTCTCAAGCACACGACATGAAAAAGGATTAAAAATATCTAATTTTATAGAAAGTTTGAAATATTGGGAAAATGAATAGCCGCCCGCTCCACTGCTCCATTAAGAAGGGATAATCAAGAATTAAGTTAAATCGTTCGAAACATTCGTTTTTAAAATTATAAAATCATATCGTTAACTACCCTGCAAGATAAAAATACTTAAATTTTTCGAAATAATAAATTTGAAATTTGTTATAAATAAAAAGCAAAATTTATAAATTTCATGCTGATATATCGGTTAATATAAAAACGTGTTTTTACAAATATTTTAATAAATATTACATCTTTACCGCAATTCATTTAACTCTCTATCTTGTACGAATTCCAAGATCCAAATAGTTACGTACTTAATTTATAGCATCACCATAGAAAGTTAGCAAATGCAACTGACTGAAAAGAAAGAACGATAGTTGAATTAATTTAGACTTTTCACACTTTGGCCTGACCAATAAATTTCTTCATTCATTGTCCAAATTTGTAAGCATCTGTGCAGCAACCTGTGGTGAAGACTGTAATTTCGCCAAAGTTCAACTGTAGTGCCGCTGTCGGAATCCTTACCTGCATCTCTCCTTTGAATTTTTAGACTAGTTCCTCATTCTCTTAGCCAAGACGTGATTCATTAGTGCGCCAATAAAAGCATTTGGATATTACAACTCACCTCCGAAACTGTGTGCGACCGACTTAACTGTATTCTATTGTTTCACTTAACAATCCTTTGGAGTTTAGTCCCATAAATCATGCATACTAAGGACTGAATATTTACTATTTTATACGGAACAAGTAACTAAAATACGACAGGAAGGTCCAAATGCTTTGAGATAGTTTTAATGTGAATATAATTACTTTGAAACTGGAATAAGTTGTAAAGAGAAATTGAACGCCATGAAAACTGAATGATTCTAATGACCATGCAAATTCACTGATAAATTTATGTCTGAAACATCTTAAAATGAGATATCAATCAGAGGAAATAGTTACGTTGAATTGTGTGTATAAATCTTATTCAGATTTATGTAGCAGGTGCGTTTGCCCACTTATTTTTAATTATGTTGTTTTCTTGGAGTATCGGGATTATTTTTCACCAGCAAGTACCAGCTGGGGATAGTAATCCTAGTAATAATTAGTGATTATCTGAGGAACTTAGGAGGAATTAAAACAGCATCTTTCTTGGTTCTCACCTTGCCGATAATTGGAAATGTGTTCCATAAGTCGTTATCCTCAATAATTATTAGCTAAAGGTGACCGCAAAACTATGCCCTTACTTTGTTTTCATCAAGATGTTTTTAATGATATTTTCGCATATAAACTCTATTTCGCATATAATATATGGGCTTAGTTTCGACTGTGTTCATTAGTAAATCAATCAATTAGTCCGAAAACTAATAACCAACACCGCTTAGCCGGAAGCTTTGTTTCGGCCGAACAAAGAATTAACATATTTTTTCATTTTAATGGAATGCTGCCGGCAAAAGCGCCAGCTAGTGCTTAGTTTTATAGTAATCCCTGTAAAAAATGTTAATTTATGTTATTAAACGATGCCCGTTTATGGTTTATTGGATGACTACGTATTGATGTTTATTCAATTTTGAACAAGTTTCAGAATATATGTAACTGAGGTTTTGGCGAAGATATACAAACCAGTCACTTGATACATATCAGAGTCGAATTAAAAGGGGATTAAAATGGTGTGTTCTAATGAAATAAGTGGAGAGGAAGTGGCTGTGTACACACTGGATAAACATCAATGCAAAAAGCGTTTATAATTGATTGTTTATATGATAAGTTTATTTTTGTATTAATTTTTATCATATAGACACAACTGCAAAACCAGTTTATTTTCATTGCATAAAATAACTGCAAATCTCTCAAAAGCGTTAATTATCTTATAATTATTTAGTCAGTCTGCTTTTGATCATTATTTAGCTCACTTGATTTAAAATCGCATTAGTTACTGCGCCTCTGTTAGTCATCACCTGCATTTAAATATTGTCATTTTCTTAAGATCGAAAGTTGCTTTCCATATACTATAATTAGCAAGTCTGATTTGAGTGCTCCGTTTCTGGTAGCTATTGCCCCTTTTTATGGGGTTGTATATCTTCAAGTAGAACTTTTTGCATATTCTCTTTACGACTTCCATTTTAATATTGAACCTGTTGTAAATCAAAAAGAGACTGTTGAATTTTAATATTAATGTAACATCTTTCAAATGACGTGAAAAGTTTATTCCACATTAAACTTAGTAGGTATTGGCAGTTTGAGGAATATCTTCCATCTTTTCAGTAGCATTTATCATTATTTTTACACACAAATGTGATATAACTGTAGGAACTCGAAACAATTCGCATTAAAATTACATCTATTTCAATTCGACCTATTTTTTTCAGTGTATGCTGGTATGGAAGACCATCATATGGCAAATACTCCTGGATTGTATACATCAGGTAGATCAACTTCTAGTAGCTCGAGTCCAGGAGTCCCTGGGTCGAGTCCTGCATTGCTGGTCGTGCCACAACCAATAAATGCTACCAAAATGGGTGGTATGCAGAACGGCGGCGTCCAGCCAAGGAAATACCAATGCAAGATGTGTCCTCAGGTACGTGTAAGTGATAATTTTTTATTAATTGGGGCATTGATCATTTGATTGTCCTGAAATTGATGAATAGTGCTTGAGTTTAGAGTACATTTATCTCTGACCAAACAAGACGATTATTGGATTGCGGCAATAAAGGTTCTTTTCATAAGTAGATGCTGTATATCAAAGTTCATTGGTATCTCTCCGAACTCGGCAATATTTTAAAATGCAATCTTTAACCTCAGCGTCAATATAATAGGGACTGGGGGTATACTTTAGGACATACTGAAGAGAACCATTATCCATCACTTTTAACATATTTTGTCGTTTTTGTATTTTGCCCCTAAGTTTTTCGCAAATACCGATAAACAACCAGTATTGGACATACACATATGAATAAACGTAAAGATATAATACTGCTCCAAAAGCACTTGAAATGCAATACTAAAACATACATTTAAACTTTTACTGAGAAGTACACTCAAGAAAGTGAAAATAAACAACAACTAATGTGTTACTAAGTCCACAAAGAATTGATTCTAGCAGATTTTTTTCTAATTGTTTCGATATATTGGGAAAAAAACTTTAGGATGTGTTTAACTAGGAAGACTATACAAATAGTAATTAAACAGTTATGCTGTTACCGGAGAAATATCCGAATTTTCTATATCTAAGTGAAATTAAGTTCTTCTTGTGACTTAGAAATTAATTTACGAATAGAAACTAGTTGAAGAAATTTGAAGTGTTGCGCTTTGTTTTATCTCAAATACAATGTTTTCGTATGAAACTAGCTTGATAAATGTCATCCAGTTATCACTAGTAAATTGCTATTTTTATAAATCCTTTATAATTTGGCAAGTCTTGTCGCAAATAGATAAAAAATTGCGATTTTTTTCTTATATTATATTTGCTCATTTTATCTCCGAAAAAGTAGTTTACCTTTGTCATGCAAGAATGCATGTGGGACGCAGTTCATAGAGAATTTAGGTTCAACTCGAGGTGAGTTCTAAAACAGGTGTATACTTTGGGGGGTGCAAGATTGGTCTCAGACCTACTATGAACGCGCACAGGCCTCAGTTCTCGAGTTTTTTTTTCATTCGAGTTTACCAGACAACAGAAAACAATGAGCAAACCAACGAAACAGCACGTCCAAAATATTCCAGGTTTTGAAAATGTTGCTAGTTAATTTATGGTAGTTAGTTTATAACTGGTTGTTTGATCAACACCAAGCGCCGGTTTTTAATTTCAATTTATATTGTTTATATTAAAAGCTATAAATTCACGTCTACATATCAATGCGTTGCCGATAAATTTTATCATACGATGACAAATAAGACAATCTTGATTGCACATTTAGAGACATATCTAAATAACAAACCGTAAAATAACTTACAAGGTGTTAGAGAAATAATAAAATCGTCACAAAATAAATTTTCTGGTCATTAGGGAATATAAATATATGTTATTGATTTTCAATAACTATTTCCTTAACGCAATCTAAGATAAACTGTAAATTAAGAATTAGTTGCTTTTTTTATGTAGTATTTGATTATGTATGAAGAGGCATTTTTTGTACGTTTTCCTGCATATTAATGAATTTAAGAATTTTCGTGACCGCCAAGTTTTCGTATAAAAAAGTTGCATTAATTTATATTCTTTGAGATATAATAATTTGTATTTAGCTATATAAAACAAGAAACAAAGAAGCTGTAAAATCCGTTATCTTTGCGACTTTAAGTATATTTATTGGATGTAACTGAAAACGCAAACACCGTTTAAACTAGTCTAGGAAAACTTGCGAATTATTTTAAAAATTTAGAACAGAACAGCGCGTTTGTGAAAGCAACATAGAATGTCTAGAGAATTATTATCAACTTTTTGCTATTCATTTTGCCGTCAACAGATTTCCCAGTACATTCAATTTTGAACGAATATGGAAAGCTCAGCACATTTCTTCAGGTACATGCCAATCATAAGGCTGTAATTCATGTATATGCTCCAAGTTTTTTAGCGGTAGACTGTTTAGCCATCTTAAAAATTAGAATTAGACAACATTTTTTGAAACTGGAAAGAGTTATGAATTAACAATGCAAATACTTATATTAGTATATTGGCATAAAATAAATATACATACTTGGATCGGAAAAACATATGTAGATCAAAGTATTAGCATATTCGAACAAACGAAAGAAACATTTTCGTTCGTAAAAGTAAGTATGATGTTTAGATGGGACAAAATAATTAATATGTTTGTTACTGTTACTACATTTAAGGTTCGCTGCACTAAATTTGAAAAGAGTGGTTTATTTTATATTTTTAGGGAACATTTTGAAAAAATCAAAACTTTAATGACAAAGCAAAAATTTCAATAACAGCTTCTTTTTAAAACAGCAAAAACATACTCATACTGATCATTACATGAGAAGTCGGACGAAGTTGTTATCAGGAACTTATTTATGAAATAAAAATGTTTATCAGGCAGGTTAGAAATGGGGTTTAATCAATTTGCTTAATCAGATTCATGCTTAATCAGATATACAAGGGAGAAAAGCTCGTGGAGTAAAAATATTAGAACACACCAAGCGCTGCATTAAGCATAACAAGGTGTTCATTAGAGGACATTACAAATGCCCACAAAGGAAAACGTCAGCTTACTAGTTATCTCGACACAATTCAGAACAAAAATTAATTAAAGCCGAAAATAATCTTAACATGGTCTGGTTGTTTCGAGGATTTCTTTAGATAGTAGGCCCGCAAGTCTGATTTGCAGCCGTCCAAATTTTCCCATAACATTGAAGATTGGATGTGACGCAGCGAGAATTCACCGGTAATATCGAGACGTGAGGGGGCGATCCCAAACTTAAACACCACATTAGAGGAGTTTTTAAAGATCTCAGCCAGCTTAAAAATATCTCGTTTCAAATAAAAAACTAATTTTGCACCCTCTTTCCAAACAGGAAATACGCCCGGCGGAAATGCGGAGATTGTGAAACATTTTATTTTGTTTCGGATGCATAGTTGTCGGGAAGATGGAGAAAAATTGCTACTTTTTAGTGATTTTATGCAGTTTATGGGAAACTGCTCATTATGTGAGAGAGGAAGTGCTGGCTTTTATTAGGGGAAATGAAGCCTGATGCATTTGTGGGACGCATTATTTTAATTGGATGTACTATTATTAGTAAAGCACGGTAAATTATGTTCGCTTGCATTAGATTATTGGACCACATTATTTAAATTTAAGTTACTTTATTAAAAATATCATATTCTAACTGAATGTGTTCCCTTTGAATCGTTCATGGTTAAAGTTTTATAGATGCTAAATTCAAAGGGTTAAGATCATTTCCACATAAATGGTTCAAATTATCTTTAAAATAGTTTCATGGGAACTACTTGGTTTTGCACTTGACAATTTGCTATTAAAGTAGAAACTTGCAAAGTCTACTTGCAGGAGTGGTGTTTTTGCACAATAAAATAAAGTACAAGTGACACTCACTTCTTTTAGTTTATACGCAAGATTGTATGATGAACTCTACGTTGTCAACCAACTATTCAACTTAAACATCTAAGCGAGTTGATTCCAGAAATCGAATAACGATCGTGCATTATCAATTAAATAGCAAAACTAGATTTGAATGAATTAACAGATTTAAAAAGTTTATATTTTTTGCTGAAACCGAATGTTGCCATAGTAGACTAAGAAACTAAAATGTTGTCAACTCCACTGTTGAATTCGCTGTTTTCTCATACCAATTTTCTATTCTGACCTCTTGCATTCATCCCAAATCTCTAAAAACCAATTTCGTCTGATTTTGCGACTATTATTTGAATTGTAAGTCCAAATTTGTGACAAAAATGCTTCAAGCACTATGTACAACAAAATACTACAATCTGAAGCATGTCATCAAGTTACATTTTCTTTATGCTTCCTTTCCGAATCCACCCCCATTCATTCGAGCGTGTGACCTGGCTGAAAGAAAAAAAAATCCATTCGATACACGTACGGTCTTCCTTTCTAGTTTGTGTACTGAAGAACGAGAGGGCATTGATTATTCGGCGATCAAGAACGCGAACTTTGGATTATTAACTGCGATCAGGTAGTCCTTAGGACACGAGAATTTGATCGGAGAGTTTTATATCGGGCTATTTTTCAACCGTAAATTTTCCCGACGAAAACCGCAGAAATCTGGTTAATATTTGCACGTTGTTTGAAATACATTTTTTATTAATGAAAATGTAAAAACAATTTACATGTCCACAGAAAATACTAACTTTAACATTCCACTTTTCAGACGATTCAAACCGCCTGTAGGCGATTTTTGTATCGCGTGGCTGATATTTTAGCTCATCATCCATAAAATATATAATAAATGGCTTTATTATCAAGAAATAATTGTGCTGTTGACATATTCAATGGCAAGTTCCAAAAAAATTAAATCGATCCTTAATTATTATTAGACCAGACATTACGAAAACTATCTATCTAAATCTGGTCCACCGGGCCAGGTAAAAAACGTAGTTGACCCTCTACAACCGTGCGTCTGTAAAAAGGACCATAGGAACCATGATTTGGACCATACGACAATATTGTTTTTTTTAGGTAGTTCTGAGTTTTTTACCTTGCGGATATTTATGTGATGTTGAGTGGCCAATATTTCTCAAATTATTGCCCGTTTGAATTTTATGCTCATCGAGAATGAATGGGGACGAGCTCCTGTTGATTGAAGGAAAATTAATGTTTGAATGTTCAGTACAGATTTCCGGCCGTTGACCTGTTATTACCTATTTGAAATATGATTTTGTTGGATTTTGCATATTTTTGGTTGTGTTGATTTTTCTCTATTTAATTGCTTTTTAATGGTTTGAAGTGAAGTGACACAATATCACAAATTTCGTCGATATTCGCATGATTAATGATCTTAAATAGGCCTTCCAAGCACTGTCTTCGTATTTCTCCAATTGCAATAAAGCTTTATTTGTGCACATCATAGGCATGGAATCGTAGCGCTTAATTCTACCACACTATAAGCAGCTCTGAAATTGATATGAAATGGGCAATATGTATAAATAAA